AGCGGTTCCCAGCGCCCGCCCGCCCCGTGCACGGTGCTTCTTTTCCCAGGGACAGACAGAAGGACCCAGCGGAGGGGGAGGCCCGGCCCCTTATGTTTTGGTTTAGGTTTAGGGTTAGGCCCCTTCCCTTGTGCCGCTTCGGGACCTGGCGGGCTTGCGGTGCATGCACTCCAGCGGGGTCCCAGGCAGAGCGGCGGGCAGCAGCAGCAGCCCTTGAAAGCCTGGCACGGTGGTCCGGCCGCTGGCTCCCCCCGCCGCGCACCTTGCATGCCCGGCAGCCGAAGCAGGCGAGCCCTGGAGCTGGCAGCGCTGCGGCGTCTCCTCCGCGGAGCTGACTGGGCCACTCCGGCTTCCCTGCCCAGGGCTGTGGCTCCGAGAGGCATGGCGGCGCTCAGCCCACACGTGGCACTCCCGCGGGATGGGGGCGTGGAGTGGGGGGAGCCACGCAGGCCGAGAGGCAACCACGGGCCACGTGCTGCACTGCTGCCACCTGGGCCCGCTCCCCCCGCCGCCGCAGCCTGGGAACTTCAGGGACAAGTCCCGCTTGGCAGCCTGGCGGCACCACCGCCTCCAGGACAGAGGCCGGTGTTGCAAGCGGGCCGCCCACCCGGTTAGGGTGGTGGGGGGCAGTTTGGCGCCCCTGAGGGCCAGCGTGCCCTAGGCAAGCACCTAGCTCTCCTAGCGGGTGAGCCGGCCCTGATCATATTGGTTTGATGCTCATCTCCCTTCGGCTGGATGGAAGTAGGGTAACTGATTTGACTGATGTTCACTTTATGCGATAAATATAATATGAGTGCATTTCAAATGGGGGATGTTAGAATCATTAGCAACCCAGTAATTGGGCACCTAGTAGTAGCAAAGCAATTCTTTCTGTACAAATTTAAGAGCACATCTTAAGAAATGATAGTAAAGATTGTGTGAGTACAAGAGCTGCAATTTCCCACAGCACCGGACTGACAAAGATGTGCTTATTTAGGTCTCTAATTTTAATTCACCCCGACTTGGAAAGCCCAGCCTAGCCTGATCTTGTCAGATCTTGGAAGCTAAGCAGGTTCAACTCTGGCTAGTATTTGGATGGGAGACCACCAAGGAATACCAGGGGCACGACCCAGAGGCAGACAATGGCAAACCACCACTGAACATCCCTTGCCTTGAAAACCCTACAGGGTCACCATAAATCAGCTGTGACTTGATGGCACTTTCCACCACCACCAATTTTAATCCTACCTTATGCCCGACATTATCTGTGCCCTCCCGCTCCAAGACACTTCTAGGCAGATTTAGAAGATTCACAGCATAAGCTACTTGATCTGGGTGACCATGGGCTAGTCATGCTCTCTCAGCTCAATCTACCTCGCAGGTTTGTTATTGTGAGGATAAAATAGAGGGAAGGAGAATTATGCTGTCAACTGCTTTGGGTCTCCACTGGAGAGAAAAGTGGGGTATAAACATGTAAATAGGTAATTATGGTTATTTAGTCTCTCTGTTGGTAAACATTTCAACTTTCAGAATGCAGAAGCAGAAGCTTTGTTTTTCTATGAAATGCCCTTTTCAGGTACTTTTAAAATGGCTAACTATTTAAATAAATCCATAGGACTAGAGCTGTACAATATGGAGTACCAGAAAAATAGTGTACAGGGTACCTTACAGTCAGTTTTAATGGGACAGCAAAACTGATTCTCTGTTTTAAAACATGAATTACAATGCAATCTAATTATGATGTCCATCAACTTACCTTTCCAGGACTTAAGAACCTACAATTGGTGGTGTTTTCAGGGCAATCTCCATTATTATCAACACAGGGATTTATGGGTTGGCATATCCTACCATCTCCTTGGTACCCATATTTGCAGGTACATTCATACTTGGTTGGCCCAAGAGTCTTGCAAACAGCAAATGAAGAGCATGGAGAGGACCTGCAAGGATCTTGAGCTGGAAATAATGTAAAATGAGAAAACAGAGGACCTCTGAGTTAAATGTTTCCCACCAAAACTTAGAAGTTTTGCCGTAGGAGTGTGGTCAGCGAATGGAAGAAGCAGAATTGATTGCAGTAGATTTGGATGAACTTCAATGGCCAGAACCCAAGGATTGTTCTCATAGTCTCTTAATTGCCTCGCAGCACAAAGAGTATATATAAACGGCTGTTACCTTGTCTATTCACAACACTGAATGTTACAGATGAGGGATAAAAGTATGAGAGAGATAAACCAAAGGTACATTTTCAGCCAATGTAGGTTTTATATTATCTTTACTTATTCAAATGTACTTTGTAACCCAAAAGATTCTCAGAGTAACTTATAAATAAAGAATAAAGCCAGCATTAACATTTCCACAGAATACGTTAATACTAAGTAAATCCCATTAAGTTGTACATAGATAGTAAATGATAATACAGGTCCTCCTTCCTCCTCACGCATTTGGAGCTTTGTGGAGTGACAAAGAAGTTTTTAAAGGTTAGTCCCCATGTGACCATGTGACTGAAAGTCCAGTCAGGCACCCATGACTCAGCTTGATCACAAATACCTTAGAGGAGCTACTTTATAGACCTTCCTCACAGGCACAACAGGGGAGGGGGACTTGGCCATCCTGGAGGCCCATGGAACCAGATAGGCCATATGATTGGCTTTCATACAGTGTTTGGGTTGGAATGGGGAAATCTTTGTCCATGGATCCACAGTGGTCCCCAGAAGCCTTCCTTATAGGGTTTTTGCAAGGCTTACAAAAAGTGAATGTGCAGGTAGCTCTTTGAGGATTCTAAAGTTTTATACAAATGCTATGTATTTCATCTCACCTTGACAGTTTGTCCCAATCTTCTGATAGCCTGGTAAGCATTCACACCTTGCCTGCCCATCCTTCACCACACAATGGGATTTGTCATCACAGATTACACTTCCACAGGAAGGAAGTTCTGAATTATAAAACAGATATATTTTTTAATGTAAATGGAACTCCTAGCAAGAATAAAAATTATTTCCACACTTATTCTGTGCATACTGATTTGTATGTAAGGTCCAATAAGGTCAGGGGGACTTAATTCCAGGTAAGTATTCATATGATTCCACTCTTTATAACCATCCAAAAGACTAACTAGGGGTATGTCCAAATCAGAGCTCCCCTGTTGAATTTATATTTTCTCTTTGTGTCCCTCATTATATCTTTGCAGCTCTTTGCTTGCAGGCTTGGGATTTTTTTTAAAAAATGCTAAATATGCACACACTTATTTACATATATAAGAACATACAACACATTCAATGCAATGTGAAAACTGGGTGGGTGTGCTTTGAGACACCTCTATTGTGTTTGTGGCTCACACAGGAAAACTCCTATGATTGTGCAGATGCTGAGTGCTGCAAGGTCAGAAAAATAACTACCTCACCCTCCAAAAGGAAATTCAAGGAGGAAATTAATGGTGTCTATGGTGATTGGAAGAACATAAGCAAAATCAGCATGAAAAGGTTTTTTAAATAGGAAACCATTCTTAATAATGGTGAAAGAGGCAGGCCGATGGTTGGAATGCATGATAGCAGGAAATCTTGCTCCAAACATAATATCAGAAGAAAGTTAATCGTTTAATTATGTACCAACTTTCATCGGCCAAAAATGAGGAGAAGTAATTTAACTATTTGGTACCTCCAAGAACAAGTTACTCAAAAAATGACTGTGCTAGACACAGTCTAAGACTGGGTCAGCTGCTGCTGAAGTCTTTTTCACAGCCCTCCTAAGCAAAAAACAGCATGAAACAGCTATCAGTCTCAAGCCACAACCTATGTATGGCGCTCATTCTACAGCAGTTTCTACAAAAGAGGCACACTAGCCTATGATTTCCAGGCAATCTGGGATGCAATCCAAGTCATTGTACTCCCAAGAAACTGCATTCTTGCTCTGTCGAATGGCAGCCTTTCAGAGGCCAGTATTGCTCATAAAACCTTCCAGGATTATAAGAAACATTATAGAACAAGTGATTACCTCATCATTTCATTTAACAAAATACTTCAATCAAGAGAGCTAGACCTGAACCACTCAACAGGGACACTACCCCCAGCAGTGGCATAAAACACACCAGCTATCTCTGAGACACGTAACCTGAAAACCAACACATGTTGGGAAGTCTAAGAGAAGGAAAACACATGTACCTTGATCACATTTGGGGCCAGTGTATCCACCATAGCAGGTACACCGTCCATCACCAGAAACCCCATGGTTGCAGACTCCATGCTGACACTCACAAACTATCAGAGATAAGGCAAACAAAAGTTATATACACCTTGCAAAACTGGAGCCATTGTACCCCTGGGCCCAATATACCACAGTCACTATGAACTTACTTATACGCTTCCCCATATGGACAATGTGAAATAAGTAGGAATGGGTAGAAAAAGCCCAGCTGTTTGATCAGCTTGCACAGCAGCATGATTGGTCTGCAAATGAAGTTCTCATTAACCAGAAGTGGATGGTTTATAATATCCTGTGAGACAACAGCAGTCTGCTACGTACCTGAGGGCCGTTTCTATTTCTAAGATATTGTGTGTGTGTGTGTGTAATTTAAATAACCATTTTAACCATTTTAAGGATAGAATGCAATGACAAATCTCTAAACAGATGTGAAAAAGAGCCATGGGAAACTATGTATAATAACCACACAAGGGCGCAATTCAGAAAAGTGCTATGTATGCCAACATCCAAATATACAACTTTTAAAAAATATCAGCTTCTGTGCAACCTTTTAAGTTACTCAGAAATTTCAGACAAAATGGAAAAGTTGGTGATTCTTAGCTAACTAGAAAACTGGTCTGCTAATTGCTTTTCATTTCAGATCAGTAGAGGCTATAATCAAAAGACATGGCATATGAAATGCTTATTTTCATACATTGCAAGTAATTAATTTATTTACTTCACCCAATTTGCATGTTGCTTTTTCATTGTATGACTGTTTATGAGAGTAGTTTAAAGTATGCTTGTGTTCCACAAAGGAAATAACTAGGCAGCCCAAGCCACAGATTCATGGAGCAGTGGGAAAAAGACTCTTCGCACCCACTCGTTAACATAAGAACAATAGAACAGCCCTACTGGGTCAGACTAAAAGTTCATTAGGTTCAGCATCTTGTTTCCTACAATGGCCAACCGGATTTCCTAGAAGCATCAGAGCGCAGCATGAATCCAATATCTCTCCCCCTGCTGTTGCTCCCATCCAGCTGGGAAAGATGCTCCTAGAAAAGGATATTTCCATCAACATTTTCCCACTTTAATAGCCTCATTCTTCTCCAGTTGAGAACTTCTCAGTATAGCTGAACAAGATTTTCTATTTACCAGACTGGCAATCAGGGCCAAAACGAGTCTCATCCCGGCATTCTTGGCAAGCATAGCCTCCATAGTTGTCCTATATAAATCAGCATAGACAGTTTTTAACATTTTTATTTATTTATTTATTATCAAATTTATACCCCGCCCAAGACACTTCTAGGCAGATTTAGAAGATTCACAGCATAAGCTACTTGATCTGGGTGACCATGGGCTAGTCATGCTCTCTCAGCTCAATCTACCTCCATAGCCTCCATAGTTGTCCTATATAAATCAGCATAGACAGTTTTTAACATTTTTATTTATTTATTTATTATCAAATTTATACCCCGCCCTCCCCGCAAAGCAGGCTCAGGGCGGCGTCCAACACGACATATCAACAGCATAAAAACAGAATTATTAAAAACACTGTCACTTCTATAGCCCTTCAAATACAGTCATGCCATGCCATGTAAATATGATGCTTTAAAGTCATCCTGGGTTAACTGTAGAACATTAAAAATTATCCATACACAGCCACTTTGGCAGTGTCTACTTGTGGCATACAGCAATATGGTTTGCTCGCCTGGTGCTGTCGTTAGTAGGCTTCTCTTGTGTCTATGACAAGTGACGGACAATAACTTTAGGCATGGAAGATCAAGGCTATTTAAATCAAGAAGAGAAAAGATCGTTCTAAATCATTATTCTAAATTAAGCTTTCCATCTGTGTTTCAAATACCTCCTAATAAAGGTACTGGAAGCTAAGCAAGATCAGTCCTGGTTGAGTACTTAGATGGGAAACCATCAAGAGAAACCAGGGTCACTATGCAGAGGCAGGCGATAGCAAACCACCTCTGAATGTATCTTACCTTGAAAAGCCTACAGGGTCACCGTAAGTCAGCTGTGACTTGATGGCACCCCCCCCCAAGCCCCACATCTCTTTATGGGGTATGGGGAAATTATAAAAAAGAAGACAAAATTTTTTACATTTTGTGATTTTGCCTTGTTTGCATCTATCCTCTTTAAAAAGCAAACCCTGTTGAGGGTTTCATCTAAAAGCATAAGAACAGATCAATAAGAACTCCTTTGTGATACTCTTAGTATGCTAATGGAAAACGGACATGGTCCCACCACAGTGAAAGAGGCATACTTAGGCCTGCTCTACACATGCAGTAGGATGAGGTGGTAATGAGGGGGCAGCATGAGCTCCATTTTACTTATTTATTTATTTATTTAAACCATTTATTAGCTGCTTTTCTTCCTTAGGAGCTCAAGGTGGCTTACAAAATAGATAAAATACCTAAAGTACATTAAAAAAAAAACCCATAAAAACCAAAAATTTAAAATCACAGTTCAGGATTTCAAGTAGACTTAACCAAATACATTTTTCAATAAAACTGTCTTTAGCTGTCTCCTCGAGTGAGGGGGCCAGGCAGACTTCCCTGGGGAGGTTGTTCCATAATTGTGGGGCTGTCACTGAAAAGGTCCTCTTGTGTACCCACCAAATGGTCTTCTTTGTTTGATGGGACAGACAGGAGGGCTTCTCCTTGTGATCTTAATTCGCAAGCGGCAACATATGGGAGAAGACAGTCCTTCATATGGGAGAACATATGAGAGAAGACAGTACCTGGTCCCAAGCCACGTAGGGCTTCAAATGTCAAAACCATCACCCCGAATTGGGATTGGGAGTGGATCAGTAGCTAGTGGATCGGTAGCCAGTGTAATTGCTGCAATATCGAGGTCATGTGCTCCCAATAGCTGGCTCTGACCAGCAGTCTAGCTGCAGCATTCTGCACTAGCTGCCGCCTCTGAGTGCTTCATAAGGCTAGCCCCAAGCACAGCACATTGAAATAGTCCAGTCTAGATGTAATTAAGGCATGGGTCACTGTGGCTAGACCAGGAATGGACACTGCTGCTGACACACCAGCCAAAGCTGGTCAAAAACACTCTGAACCATGGCAGCCACCGAGTTTTTTAAGGTGACTGCTGTGTCAAGTAGCACTCCCGATCTGTGAATTGGGCTTTTCCATGGGATTATAAGCTCATCCAAGACAGGAGCGATCTCAGGTCCCTGGTCTGGCTTTCTACTAACCCAGAGCAGCTCTGTCTTGTACCACGTCAGACTGAAGGTGAAGAGTTATGTTTCTCATTACTTTCATAATTCCCGGACAATAGCAAACTTACACAGTATGTGAACATCTAGGCCAGAACTTCTCTCTTTCTGACATGTTATTGTTTCGTTGCAGGAAGATTTTTTTACATTGGGGATACATTAAAAATGAGAGTTCCCCACTGAATTGATGCAGCCTATTCTATCACCCAAAATTCTCTCCCCTCATTCTGCTGCACATGCAGATCAGGCCTTAGTTGATAGGTAGGCATCTCTTCTCAGCCCAAGGCAACATGTTCTTTGTTCTACAACAGGAAGGAAGCCCAAATTTACTCGCTCAGAATTCCAGTGAGGAAAAAATCTAGAGCTCCTGTGGGGTACAGGGATTTGTAGTTTGTAGTGCAGAGGCCTGTCGTGTTTCCTGACAATGTTTACAGCCATATTCACAAGAAAACATGCAAGCACCACTCCTACTACTTGTAAGTGACCCCAACTGACCTTGCAGAGGCAAGTTCCATTCTGTGCTATGCCATCCAAACAGGTCCCATGGTCACTGCACGGTTTCCCAGATATACTCGGGCATTCTGGCAAAAGAGAGCCAAACCACCGTTCTTTAGAATAAAATGAATACTGGCTCCCTTCTGTTATTTCCTGTCCTTAATATATTTGTTACCAGGGGTCTTGTTGTAGAAAAAGAGCTGCCGGAGCTCATTAGCATAACTCATTAGCATAACTTATTTGCATATGCCACGCCCCCTGACATCACCGGAAGTGACAGAAGGCCACACCCCCTGACATCACCGGAAGTGTGTCAGAAGGCCCGGCTACTTACCCTCCTGCTTCATCCTCATTCCCAAACGGAATGAGGATCGAAGCAGAGGGCGGGGTAAAGAAGGGGGCGGGGCTTCACCACGTGACCGCCCCGCCCCCTAGAGGTTCTCTTCCGGAGCTCCGTACCTGAGAGCTCCCCCCCGACTAGAGCCCTGTTTGCTATGACACTTTCCATTGCCACTAAGCCAAATGGATCTTAGACTAGGGACAGTTTGTTTGTTTGTTAATCCACACAGCACAAGGGTGGTTTTTTTACAGTGAAGTTAATAGAACCTGTTCTGATGCCTCCATTTTTGTAGATGCTATGGCCACTCATTTGTGCTTCAGGACCAATTAGCAGATCTACCTAAAGTGGACCTGAAGGCTGTGGAGCAGCTCAAAGCAAGAGAAGATGGAGTCTGAAGTCCTGTAGGCAATACTTCATGGACTGGGCAAGGGCAAAAGTCCAGGCTTCTCATACTGTGTGGGACCAATCCACAGTCTTCGTGCTGCCTGCCAGTTGTAAGGGCCAGTGGTTTTTTTTTTTAATATTTATTTATATATTTTTGTTATACACAACATGTAAATACATTATCAATCAATAAACACTTTACCTTGAGTCTGTTATTAATTAGTATTGTTTATCCAGTTGTATAATCTCAACCATTTTTTCAAAAAGAAATGTTCCCCTTTCCCTTGAATTAACAAGCTTAACTTATCAATTTCTGCTAAATTTAACAACTTTGAACTTATCTCTTCCCTACTGGGCGTTTTTTCTGTTTTCCAATATTTGGCCAGTAGTATTCTCGCCGATGTTATTATAAGTGTCGCTATTTGAGTATCAACATAACTGAGGCTTTCCGGAATTATATTCAACAAGTATATTTCTGGATCTAGTGCTAAATAAATGTCCATAATTTCCCAAATTATTCTTTGTATTTCCCCCCAAGTCTCTCTTTGCCAGGTCCCATCCCCACACCACAAGGTACCTGTTTCATGATTCAGGGCCCTTAACTGGCTGGAATCTGATGCACTAAACTAGAAGCCTTACCATAGCATTCAGAACCCCAGTATCCCGGGCAGCAGAGTTTCTCTTCAATTTCCTTTTTGCAAGTATGAGTGCAGCCCAATAGTGAAAGCACATTCTCTTCCAGCTTTACTGTATAACTGAAATATTAAACAAACAAACAAACTCCTGACCAGTGATCATGAGCAGCAATATTCTATTAAAATGTTACTCCCTAGGGAAGCTGAAATTTAAACTAGAAGTTATTCCCACCATCTGGTAGAGTTGCAGATATACAACTTCTTTGTCCTATTCTCAAACAATGGGTGATTTGCATCAGGGTAAAGCAATCAAAATTAGTCTGCCCAAATCTAAACTTGATCACAAAGAGTAAGGCTGCCAAACCCCATCCAGACCAACCGCATTTGATAATACTGTATGACATTTTTGCAAGGACAAATTGCTTTGTTAATGTGCCTTGGGTCCCATGGGGGAAAGAGAAAGGCTAGAAAAAACGGAAATAGATAAATAAAGTAAATGTCTTGGCCACTGGCATAGCACTTTATGCCCACATGTATATTGCAGAACAGAAAAGCAGGTTCCATGGATCTTTTTATTGCCCTTTGCTGAATCATTATGGGTCCACCTAGTGTTATATTCTATTTCCAGTAAAGGCAAAACCAAAAGGTTGACAAAGGATACATTAACATATAGAGGTACTGTACCCAAATATATAACTAAAGTACAAAACGAAGCTATGGTAAAGTTTCCACTTCATGTATCTGCCAATAGCTGTCAGAGAACATATCAAGCACTTGAAAGAATGCAGTAATCGGA